CCTGCTCTCCCTCCCCCACAGACCCCCGCGTTGTCAACGTTTCTTCTTCTATCTCTTCTCACCCCCCTCGCAACAACTACTTTTCTTTGCCGTTTGTTCTGACAAATCTTGGTTCTTGCACGCCCTCATGCATCATCCTAAGTGGGCGCTGCAGTGTACTATCTAATCATATCTCGTTACTTGCGTGTGCTTTGGCAGAGATCTCTGTGTGTGTGTGCCTTCTTGGTTTCTTGTGCACAGAGTGGATAGAAGACACCCTATGTGTGCCACTCGAAACTGCCACGGTGATCTGTTTTGACGTACCCCTAGAAGTCTTAGCCGCGATTAGAGCACTACAAATTGGTGACCCCGGCGTGATCCAACCTGTGATCTGGCTGAGCAACCTCTTCGCGAAATTCTGACTCGACCTCGTCATACTGGTTTCCCTGTATCACTCATCTTTCCCGTGGATAGAGGAACGCGGTTGCTGATACCCTGTCGCCAGTCGTGGTCGACGTTTTCCACCAAAATTAACCATGCAGGTCCAGGTCGAACCCCAATCAAAGTATTTGGAGTACGCATCTATTTGCGAAACTATCACGGTGATCTGTGTGCAGGAAAGCTTTGGACTTACCAACCGAAATACTCTTACTAGGCGACGTCCTTCCCCTCTGGCTGTAGAACAGGAGACAGCTTTAACTGACCAAGAAATGAGTGATTGTAAAGTGGTTGGGTCTGAAAGCATGGTTTTGTTGCCGTGTAGTTCGTTCGTCGTATCCGTAGTGGCCTACCGTGTGCTTCACAGAAGGGTGAGGCGGGTACGATGATTTGCGTGTGAATTAGATTACAATGGGAGCAGACTTTCACTGTGTCTAGTGAACTCTCCTTCCTCCAACTGGACCCGGAGAGGGCGCAGGTGACTGGCGCGACCGGAGCCACCCTAAGCGTGCCGCCACACCTGGCTCGGGCCTCAGTTGATTGGCAATATCATGAAGGCCACACTAAGAGGGTTCTCAATCCGCCAGTCGGTGTCTCCAAACAAACACTACGCCGCCTGCGCGGTCTGAGCTATGCCAC